CAGTGCGTCTGGGCCCTAATCATCATCCTCTTCTCATGGGCATTTTCCCTGGGGCTGCCCTGCCCCACCTCTGCCCTGGGATGCTGGCATGAAGGGAGAGCAGTTCACACATCTCTGAAGGTTGTGTACTTTCGGATTCAAGGGGTCATGTCAAGACCGGAAACGAGAGCTCCAGGAGCCCAGGAGATCCAAGGCTGGAGGTCAGGGTCCATCAATCTGGCTTTTTTTTTTTTTCCTGTTTTGATGGTGCTGGGGGTTGAACTCAGGGTCTTGTACTTGCTAGGCAGGGATTCTACCACTTGAGCCATGCCTCCTTTTTCCACTGGTTTTCCACATAGGGTCTCACTTTATTTCCAGGGTTGGCATGTTTCTCTTGTAGCTGGGATAACACCACCATACCCAGCCATTGGTTGAGATGATGTCCCACAAACTTTTATACCTATATCCATGTAGTTTGGGTATCTGTAATACTGGCTAATATGAAGGTTTAAAAAAAGAATTGCATTTTGATGGAGAATTTCATCTTCAATTTAGATATAAATAATAGTAAGTAGGCTAGGCATGGTGGTGGCTCACACCTGTAATCTTAGTTACTCAGAGGGAGGCTGAGATCTAAGGATCATGGTCAAAGTCATCCCCCCATGGGTCAAATGGTAGAATGCTAACCTCAGTTAAAAAAAAAAATAAAAAGAAGCTCAGAGACTGTTCCCAGGTCTTGACTGTGCCCAGAATCTGTGATCTGTGCACACACACACACACATACACACAAGCCAGTGGGCAAATGAGTCTCCCATACTTTGTTGATAGGAATGGAAGATGGTACCACTACTCTCGAAGCTTTAGAAGTTTCTTTAAACTAATATAGACCTACTTTATAACCCTGCAATTCAACTCCTAGGTATTCGCTCATGTGTTAGCCAACTTTCAGTTGCTGTAACCAATATCTGAGATAATTCAACCCCTGACCAGGCTTGTCTTGCCCTATTTCAGAGTTTTCAGCCCATAGCCACTTGGCCCATTAGTTGGTCCTGTGGGCTGCATGGTATATCACTGTGGGAGCAAAGGACAGAGGAAGCCTGTGCTTCTCATGGCAGCCAGGAAGCAGAGAGACTAGAAGCAGGTGAAGTCCCAATACTTGATTCATGGGCACGCCCCCAATTACCTAATATCCTCCCACTAGGCTCCACCTCCTCAGGGTCCCAGCATCTCCTACTGGTGACTAAACCTTTAACACACTGAGTATTGGGGAACATTTAAGATCCAAACTATATAGGACCAAGAAAAATGAAAACATAGGTTCACAAGAAGGTTTGCAATTATCTTTATTAATGGTCTGAAATTAAAAACAGCTCAGGTATCCATCCATAGGAGATGAACCTGGATACAGTAAAGTTGTGTGATAGGATGGGAGTGAAGAGTAAATGGGTCACCAACATGTGCACTGCACAGCACCATCAGAAACAGCTTACCATGTCCAAGTGAACACGAGTGTAGCTCACATAACAGAGCGCTTTTTGCCTAATACATGAAAGATCATAAGTTCAAACCCTAAAACAGTCAAAGAAAAGAACGCAGCTGCTTATTTCCCAATCACTGATGTCCCACTGGCCAGTGAAAGGCCCACAGCTGGCAAAGGGCAGGGACAGGGCAGGGTGAAGAGTCTTCCACATAATCTTAAAACTGACTAGATCCTTTCTGGACTGCCTGCTGTCAGGGTCAATGCCTGAGAGCCGTGGCCATCTTCTCTGCTGTCCACTCATTTGTCCCTCCTCCTCCAGAGGTCCCTGGGGCATGAGCTATATCTCATTGATCTGTCTCTGTGTCTGGCACAGGGTGTAGCACATTGCTCGACAATCAATGAAATAAACTGTAGAAGAATAAACACTGCGTGCCTCAAGGACGGACCAAACACATTCTTCTCCCATCCCCGGCATCTAGTGAAAACCATTACAATATATCTTTCAAATTAGATTTCTGAGCATCCCTTGTCTGTTTCTACTTAGGCTGGAAACGCAGTCTCTTTTGCAGCATCCACTAAAACGCTGAGGGATGGGAGCTGGAGAAGCTGGTGAGCCAGGGGATGACCCTGCTCCCAGGAGGGCTGGCCCCAGAGCCTCCAGCCTGGCTTGGCAGCAAAAGCCTTGGAGCTGGAGGAATGAAGCAACTCTTAGGATCACCTGGATACAGTTCTCATGCGCTTGCTGACAGACACGTTCAATTCTGAGCCAGCCTCCCAGTGACGCAAAGGCTCTGAGAGTTCACACCTCATTTCTGAGGCCCAGGGTGAGGAGGAAATCTTGGTGCAGGCCAGTACTTGAACCCTTCCATTGATGTCACCCAAACCCAAAGGAAATCTGAGCTCCAAACATGACTCAGGGAGGCTCACTCGGCTGCGTGTGTTCTCCTTGGAGGGTTCCGTACTTAGGTCAAGTACTTGGCTCTGACCACAAGAGGGTGACCTGTCAGCATGAGCGAGACAAGACCCAGGATAGGAAGGCCCTGGCCCAAGAGGACAAAGGGGGAGAGTGGAGTACGTGGGCCACTGGCTGCCTTCAGATTAGTGCTGCCTTCACTTCCCTCCTGAGACTGTGAGCAAGATCCTAATGAAACCACACTTCACTTCTACCAAGAATAATGCCCCCTCCTTCCCTTCCCTTCTTTCCCCTCTCCTTCCAATCCCTTCCTTTCTACCTAGGAACAGGAGTCTGGAGAGGTCAAATCACATGACCAGGGTCACTGACTAATAGATGGTAGTGCCACAGGTCTGAGGTGTGATTCCCAAACAGCTGCTCTTTTTATTTATTTATTTATTTTACAATTTTCTAGCAATGCTGGGGACTGAACCCAGGACTTCACACATGCTAGGCAAGCAATCCACCACTGAGCTAGACTCAAACTCCCACTCTTAACAACTGTGCTCTTTTCCCCTGAACATTTGTTCTAGGGGCACCACCAGATATGAACAAATATCTTAAATCCTAGCTGACTAGCCAGGTGTGACAGCACAGCCTGTAACCCTAACACTGCGAAGGCTGAGGCACAAAGATAGCAGGTTCGAGGTCAGCCTAGGCAACCAGTGACACCCTGTGTCAAAAGAAAGCAAGCCAAACACAAAAACAAAACCTAACTAACCTGAAACCCACTGGGAAGCAAAACACACAGGGTAACATCATGTGCTGCTCAAAGCCACCTGCTGTGGCGGAAGGTGCATACAATCACGTGTCTACTTGGCCCTTCTTTGCCAGAGTATCCTGTCATCATCCTGGGTTATAAAGCAGAGGAGTTCTCTACACCTCCCTTCTGAACATGGATACTATCTTGGATGACTTCATCTTTCCCACAAATCCTTCCAATAGACTTTTTTTTTTCTTTTTTGAGACGGGGTCTTGTTAGGTAGCTGGCTCTCGACTCCTAGGCTCAAATGATCTTGCCTCAGCTTCTCAAATAGCTAGGACTATAGGTATGAGCCACAGAACTAGACTGGAGGTTTTATTCTCAGAGCCACGGAGTAGTCCCACCCATCCCGTTTTACCACACCGGAGAAGATGCTCATGCTACTCGTCATTCCCAGAGGGAGGGCTCATTCCAAGTGAGTGCACAGGGTGGCCGCCTCGGCCCTACCAGTATCCGCACCAACAACTTGGGGTAAGGTGTCCAGTAGGGTGAGCTGTCAACCCCAAAGTCAAATGCTTGCTAGCCTTCCTCTCCAGCTAGCCACAGAGCAGCTGGGGGAGTGAAGGATAAATGTGAGACTCTCGCCTATCTCACAGCAATCCTTCCTGTTTGGTTTAAAAATATAAACTGGGTTATAGATTAGTGCTGCCCTATATGAAGAGACTGACCAGTGGACCTCTACCTACTGTGCAAAATCCAACCCCCCCCCCCAAAAGAGGCACAGAAAGCGTGAGCACAAGGTGGTTAGCAAATGGATTTCTGAAGACTTACAATGAGGAAGAGAGGAAATGGTGCGGAGGGAACAGCCTTGACCCACTTTGATGTGTCATGCAGAAGCCCTTCCAAGAGGACCCTGGAGACCACCTCGCACCGCTCGGGGCAGGCCAGACGCGCCTGTGCCGGCGCAGGCTCAGAAAGAGGTCAGCGAGGAGCCAGGTGTCAGAGGAATGCGTCTGGCTGCTCTTCCCAGGCATCCTCAGGGGCTGCTGGCCTTTTCTATATGTTTATTAATTTTGTTTAAATGTGCTGTGGCCGGCCTAGTTTTACTTAATGCCTAATAAAGGGGAAAACTGTTTACATAGCACCCTTGGGCCTCACACTAAGCAGCTGAGATTAGCAAGGTCCTTCCTTTTCCCAGATGACACAAGCCAGCAGCCTGGGCGGAGAACAGTTCCTTTACAAGTGTGCCATCCCCAGGTGGCAGTGGTGGAAGCCGAACATGATGTGACACGAGGCAAAATCGGGGTAAGGAGGGCTTAGCTCCACCGTGGGGGTGAAGCCCACTCCGCACACTGGGCTTTGGGAGCTTGTTGTGTAACAGGCCCAGGATAAATGGGTAAAGTCATCGCCCGATTCGAGTGCACATCTCCCAGTCCAGATAGGTTTCTATATATAAACTGCCTGCTTAACATTCTCCCCACGAGACATCAGAAGAGGCTGGAGAGAATGGCCAGAGTCTCCTATAAGCTCCTGCTCCTGCCTTCTAAGCCTCGCTCCTGCTTCTTGCTCTATGTGAGCGTGCTAGACTTTTCCATCAAAGGACTTGTCACCAGGCTCTGTTTTCATCCCAGTTTTCCCAGGCTGAAGAGACACCCTCTGCTATGGCTACTTTAATAGGCTGCCTCTCTGGCTTGCAGATGAACTTGCCCTGCATGTAGTGATAATGATCGTGCTGATGTGCTGGATGATTTGTTTCAGAAGACCACAGGCTCCTGAAATGTTCTCTTAGTGAACTCCATGTAAGAGCATCACAGGTTTCCTGTCCTCGGCTCTTCCAGGCAGGGAGAAGTGGTCATTGTCACCAAATAGATGGGGAAACAAAGGCTGGAGCCAATAAATTAACAACAGAACCAGTATATCAACAACAGAACCAGGAATTGAACTTGTAGCCAGTGTACTATGCTGCATTCTCAGTAGCATGTGGTAGCCCTCTACCCCTGTGGAGGAGGTCACGAGTCAGAACTGTAGTTTGTCTGCCTTAATTTTCCCAGAAAGATCCTCAGAGGCATGGATTTTCTGCTTCCTGCAGTAAAGCAGCATCTGCTAGCAGAACATTCATGAGCTTTGAGGCAGACAGAGTCATCCCAAGTTCTGGATTTGTGACGCAGTAACTACCTGACCTTGGACAGCTGACTTCCTCCCTCTGAGCCAACTTTCTGTCTATGAAATAGGCCTGTGAGGGCACTGAGCTCTGAGACACTATGTAAGGAAAAGCTGGCTCTCTTCCCTCCTTAGCCAGGGACTCCAAAGGGCACGCTGGATTCATGGTGAGGCTGACACCCCCTCCCCACAACAGTCCCGAGAACCTACTTCCTCCCTGCCTGTAGCTCTGTGATCACCAACCACGTGTTCATCAATTCCAGCTGGCCTTCCTCTAGCAAACACTTCAGGATTCTCCCTGCTGATCTGACTGACCGCCATTTCTAATAAATCACAGGCAAAGCCCCTTTCAGAGGACCATCTCTAACCATGCAGAACTGGTCCCAGACCTAAGCTCTCTGATAATTTTGTTCTAATGTGTTACTTTTTATGTATTGCTATTTCGTGAGGTAACGGTTATGCAGGTAGCAGGAACAAGGGACAAGTTCATGAGGAGGCCACATGGAAAGCAAACCTGTGCCCGTGACCTTGTACAACGCTTAGAAATAGGACTATGGGTTATGTGAGAGTAGACAAAGGAAGTCATTGTGACGATGGGGAACTGTTGATTTCCCTTTCTTGGTGTTCTTTAATACTCAATTATCCTCCCATGACAAAAGTGCACGTTTTCGAGAAACTGACCATGAGGAGGTTTACCCTTATGCAGTGTGCCCACGCTGCTCTGCCTGCTGCCCTTCCTCACCCTGCTGTGCCTTTGAAGGGGTCCGCTCAGGGGGCTTGGATCAGTTTTCCTTGGCAGAAAGGATCCTACCAGGCTTAAGGAGGGAATTCTATTTTGACAAAGCTGGGGGCCGTTAGGGGCGGGGTGGGATGGTGGCTTTTCACACAGCACTTGGCGCTGGCTGCCTCTTTTCATTGCCTACCCTGGGGTTGAGGCTGTGCCTTGTACAATGGCTTCTGCTACAGTGCCCTCTTGTGGCAGACCTGCTCCCCAGCAGCCACACAAGGCCAGCTGCCTCCCATGCTAGATGCTGACCAACAACGTTGGAGGCTCAGAACCAAAAAAAAAGCATGTTAAGAGAAGCACTGAACATTTACATGTCAGTTCCAGGAGACAGGGGTGACCATCACTTGAAGCGGGAGAAGCAGCAGGTCAAAGCCAGTGTCATAAGCAGTTACCGTCCACATACCGAGCCAGGAAGGGGAGTGACACGCAGCTAGCTCAATGCGACTTCTCAAAGAGATACTCAAGATCTGGGGCGCGCAGTCTCTGCTCTTTGTTTTTGTTTTTTGCAAATTCTTTCAGCATGGCCATGATTTCGTTTTCAAATATTTCTGGGGCTGGTTTTGCTTCTACAAGAGAAGAATGGGCAGAAAAGTGTTATGTCACCATCAGTCAGGGCTCAGGTATAGGCCCTAAAAATGGAAACTCTGGCTCTGGCCAAGAACCACAGATGTATTAATGGACCCTCTCATCCTCCCTCTCAATAGATGGGACATTAGGCTCAGCAGGGCTTGGCAGCAAGCTGATGGCCTTTATTTGTAAACAGTTTTGTTGGAACAGCTGCTCACATTGTTTGCACAAGATCTACAGTTCCTTTTGTGTTACAATGGCAGAACTGGGTAACCGTGACTGAGATCGTATGACAGCAAGATTCCATATCTACTATCTGATCCTTTATGCCCAAATCTGCTTGATGCCTGCCCTGAGTAATCTTGGGCTTAACCACTTTGCTCTGCACTTGGCCTTTCCGTTGTTTTCTGGGTGCAGTTATTCCTCCCTATCTGAGCCGCAGAGTTTCATTTACCTGGGAGTCAAACACAGTCTGGAAATATTAAATGGAAAATTCTAGAAATAGTAAGTCTTAAGTTGCATGCTATTCTGACCAGCATAATGAAATTTTACACTGTCCTGCTTAGTGTTGCACTACACACACACACACACACACACACACACACCTGCTATCAGTACACCACCTGCTACCAATACTTTGTAGTCATCTCAGTGTTTGGCCTTGACCATCAAGGTATTATGAGCTCTTGCATCCAAGTAACTGCTCTTTCCTTAGTAATGGTCCAAAGCACAAGAGTAGTGAGGCGAAGAGGCGCAGGGCACAGAACACGAAAGCACAGGTTAACTCCAGTACAATGTGATATAGGCTATGTATGGGGCTCAGGGTTATCCACAGCTTCAGGTATCCACTAGAGGTCTTGGAATTAATTACTTTCAGATATGAGGAGATCACTCTATTGTGTTCCCTCCCTCCATCATTTGCTCCCTTCCCTCCCTCTCTCCTTCCCTCCCTCTTTCCTTCCTTTTCCTTTCTTCTTTCTCTCTTTCCCTTCCTTCCTTCTCTCTTTTTTCACTTAGGGCTGGTACTCTACCACTTAGCCATACTGCCACTGTTTTTTCTTCTTTCCTCCTCCTCCTCCTTCTCCTCCTCCTCTCTCTTCTCTTCCTCCCTCCACAATCCTCCATGATACTGGAGATAGAACTCAAGACTTATCCATGCTAGACAAGAAGTCTACCACTGAGCTACATCCCAGCCCTTCCCTTCTAATTTATAAATTTTGTGAGACAAAGGCTCTACTTAGTGACAGAAATGAATATTCTAGTATTAACTTAAGCAACAAGGGCTTTTACTGGAAGGATAGTAGAGGCACACAGAACTGCAAGAGCCTGATATAAGTGGACAAGCAACAAAGGCACGGAGTAAAGAAATGAGGATGGCCACAGGAGTGTGGCAGCTGCTGTCACTTCCAAAGTTTCTTTCACCCTTGAGACACTTGCTAAGCCTACAAATTCCACACAAAACCTCCTGTTGGCAAAGATTAGGCAGTGTGCACTGAATCTGCGCTGTCATGACTAATACAATAGCAGGAGAGGGAACCTTTGAAACTTAAGTCAGATTCCCCTCTATTCAACAGAGGATCTGGCAACAATGAATTTCGGGAGGCGGGGGGAGGTTCTGACAACCCAGAGTAAGGGGTGTCGGACTTCTCTTTATGATGTAGAAATTGGAATAAGTATTATACCTGCTTTAACAACAGGAAAAAGCCAGAAAACAATTATCAAGATTTTTATTGAGCTTGAACTCAGGATCTAGGCACTGTCTCTGAGCTATTTTGCTCAGGGCTAGTGCTCTACCACTTTTAGCCACAGTGCCACTTCCAGTTTTTTGGTAGTAAACTGAATATGAGTCTCACAGACTTTATTGCATGAGGTTGCTTTGAACCAGAATCCTCAGATCTTAGTCTCCTGATTAGCTAGGACTACAGGCATGGGCCACCAGTGCCCAGCATGATTTTTCTTGAAGCTGTCAAAGAACTGAGTTCTCAGGGCAATGAAATACAATGGGTAAGAAAAGAGAAGTCCTTCAAAGAGGTTACTGGCTCACAGGTGGCAGATATGCGTAAAAAAGAGACAGGGCTGGGGGTGTGGTTCAAGTGGTAGAGCTTGTGCCCAGTAAGTGTGAGGCCCTGAGTTAAAGCCCCAGTGTTTCCAAAAGAAAAGAAGAGGAAGAGAAGAGGAAGAGAAGGAGGAGAAGGAAGAGGAGGAGGAAGAAGAACAGGTAAGAAGGATTCAGCTAAAACAGTTTACCATTTAGAGCCAAGTGTGAGCCAGCCCTGGAGGCCACAGACACAAGTAGAACTGGCACCCCACACTGGGTGTGCTCCTGGTAGAGACTAGGTGCAGAGCAGGAGGCTAGAGAAAACCTGCCTCAGAAGTGCAGGCCAGGAGGAGAGCAGCTCCCATGTAAAGGAACAAGAGGCCCAGGTGGCGCTTCCTCTCTACATAATGAAACCCTCTACTGTCTGAGAGCAGGTACAAAATTCCTGTCTCTCTCAGCTTTCAGGTGAGAACTGATGTAGACCGGAAGAAGAGCAGAAGAGTAAAGGAGGGCACAGGAAACTCACTGAAAGCTGTTGGACACAGGGAAGTAGGGGGACCAGGAACGAGGAAGAACAGAATGAGTTAATCTGTCTAAATATAATTTGCATATATATGAATCATGGTGGTGAAAACCCTTTGTACAACTAATACACACTGGAAAAAAAAACTACAGGAAAGTAAAATAGGCTATTGGGAATCAGGTACCAGTGTGGGGAAGAACAGATGGTGAATGAGGGTGAACGTAGACTAAGCAATTCATAAATGTATATGAAAACAGAACAATAAAGCCTGGTTGAAGCTGCTTTAAGAAGAGGAAAGGCTGCCGGGCGCCAGAGGCTCACACCTGTAATCCTAGCTACTCAGGAGGCTGAGATCTGAGGATCACGGTTCAAAGCCATCCTGGGGAAGAAAGTCAAGTCCGTGAGACTCTTATCTCCGATCAACCACTCAGAAAACCAGAAGTGGTGCTGTGGCTGTGGTAGAGCTCTAGCCTTGAGCTGAAGAGCTCAGGGACAGCGCCCAGACCCAGAATTCAAGCCCCATGACCAACAAAAAAAAAAAAAAAGAAAGAGGAAAGGAGGTGCTGGTGGCTCACAGCTATTATCCTAGCTACTCAGGAAGTTGAGAATTGAGGACTATGGTTTGAAGTCAACCCAGGCAGAAAGTCTGTGAGACTCTTATCTCCAATTAATCACCAGGAAACTAGAAATGGTGCTGTGGCTCAAAGTGGTAGTGCTAGCCTTAAGTGAAAAAGCTCAGGGACAGCACCCAGGCCTTGAGTTCAAGCTCCATGACTGACAAGAAGAAGAAGAAGAGAGGAAGGATGGGGGAAAGAGACGGAGGGAGGGAGTTTGATTGGGGTACCTTGTATGCATGAAAAAGATACTGACACTCTCTTATATAACTAACACACACTAACAAAAAAAATCTTAAAAATCAGACAAACAAGACACCCTTTAATCCTGAGATAAGGGGCAGAAGCTCCAGAGCACACAGAGAATGCCAGCCTCTCCTTCCCTAAACTCACCAGCAGCCATCTTCTGTTAGGGGCAGTTAAGAACGTGGGGAAATTCCCTCTGAGGCATAGAAATATAGGAAGGCCAACAGATAAGGGTAAAACAGGAACACTGAAAATATCTTTGAAAACAGGTTCTGCTTGGTAACGGTAACAGAAGAAGCTCATGATGCCCTGAAGGTAAACATAGCAGAAACAAAATGCAAATTGAGCTTAACTCTTAACCCAACTGACTCAATCCCCAACACAACAACCTAGGAGGAGTACACCCACTTCAAGCCAAAATTACCTCGTATCTCAGTCTTTTAATGTCTTCCTCGTGATGTCTAACATTCAAGAGAAATTACACAATGCAGCTAGAGATGGTGGCACATACCTGTAATCCCTAGCACTGGGGAGACTAAGGCAGGAGGATTTTAAGTTGGAGGCCAGGCTGGGATGCATAAGAAAATCCTATCTCAAAGAAACAAACAAAAATGATAATACACACACACGCACGTGCGCACGTGCATGCACGCACACACACGCACACACACACACACACACACACACACACACACACACACACACACACAGAAAAAGAGCTGGTGGTCATGGTGTCGGTGGTCATGCCTGTAATCCTAACTATTCAGGAGACTGAGATCTGAGGATCGTGGTTCAAAGTCAGCCCAGGTAGGGAAGTCTATGAGACTCTTTATCTCCAATTAATCACCAGAAAAAAAAAAAAAGGGAGTGGTGCTGTGGCTCAAGTGGTAGAGCACTGTCCTCGAGCTCTTTAGGCCCAGAGTTCAAGCCTATGACAAAAAAAAAAAAAAAAAAGGAAAGAAAAAAAGGCTGGGAAGTTAGCTTAGTAGTAGAGTGCTTGCCTAGCATGCATGAAGCCCTGGGCTGGATTCCTTAGTATCACATAAACAGAAAAACCCAGAAATGGCACTATGGCTCAAGTGGTAGCATTCTAGCCTTGAGCAAAAACAAGCTCAGAGACAGTGCCCAGGCTTTGAGTTCAAGTCCCAGGACCGGCAAACAAAAAAAAAAGGAAAAGGAAACCTCACACTGTTGAATACAAAAACGGATTCAGGGATGACTCAGACATTAGCGCTACCTCAGGGAATTTAAACTATGTTAAAAGACTCAAAAGACAAGGCATTTGGAAAGATGAGGAATTCCAGCAGGGAGCTATAAGGAATGTCAAATGGAAATACTAAAACTAAAACAAAACACACACACACACACACACACACACACACACACACACACGCACGCACGCACGCACGCAAGCACGCCAGGCACTGATGGCGGACAGCTGTAATACTAGCTACTCAGAAGGCTGAGTTCTGCGGATTGCAGTTTGAAGCCAGTCTAGGCAGGAAAGTCCCTGTGAAACTCTTTATCTCCAATTAACTACCAGAAAACTGGAAGTGGTGCGATGGCTCAAAGTGGTAGAATGCTAGCTTTGAGTAGAAAAGCTCAGGGACAGTGTCCAGGCCCTGAGTTCAAGCCCCATGACCAAACAAAGAAAAGTCACAGGGACATATTAAAGAAATGGTGGATGTAAGATGAAAAATTTTTAAATGTTTTTAAAAAACAGAGAAAGCAGAAGTGTTTCTCTTTTCAATTTCTCCTTACATGTACTTTCATTTCCAGCCATGTTTCTGGGCTTATAACTCTCTGCTCAAAGCAGAAAGTGTCCTGGAGCTACCTATGAAGAAATTCTCTGGGCTGGGAAGGTGGCTCAGTGGTAGAGCGCTTGCCTTGCATGCCTGAGGCCCTGGGTTCGATTCCTCAGCACCACATAAGCAGAAAAAGCCAGAAGTGGCACTGTAGCTCAAGTAGTAGAGTGCTAACCTTGAGCTGAAGAGCTGAGGGACAGCGCCCAGGCCCAGAGTTCAGGCCCCATGACTGGACCGAAAAACAAACAAACAAAGAAATTCTCTACCCTGGCCATAAGACCCACCTCATCCCAGAAGTGCCGTCTCACACCTTGAAGGAAGGAATGCTGCAACAAGGATCTGAACTGACACGTCTTCCTGTGTTTCCCACTGGGTCTCTTAGCCATCATCCCTATGCAATGAAGTCTCCACAAAAGTCTCGAAAGACAGGATTTATGAGCTTCCAGACAGCTGAACACACGAAGGTTCCTGGAGAATGGCTCACCAAGAGAGGGCACAGAAGAGCCTCGGAAACTCCCACCCCTTCTCCCCTCCTCACCCCACACTTCCCTTCATTGTCTTTTTTAAAGTTCCTTTATGATAATATGAGAAGGTATTTACATGAGTTCTGTGAACTGCTGGAGGAAATTAATCAAGAGGCGAGGGGTTGTGAGAACCCCAATTTATAGCCAGCTGGTTAGAGGCACAGGTAAAACCACCTGGAGTTTGCACCTGGTATCTGAAATGGGGGCCGATCTTGAGGACTGAGCTCTCAATCCATGTGATCTGACACTGACAGAATTCAATTCAATGTTATGTTGACTGTGGTATGAGAATAAGGGAAAAAGACACCTGGGCTTTTCCCAATGAGGTAAAAGAATGGCATGTGAGGTAGACTTACAGTATGGCCTCCAATATTCCTTACTATTCTAGTATAGGCTCTGGATATAAGACTTTTCTCCTGTAACTAGTTTGTATTATGTGGCAAAAATGACTAGAGAGAGCTGACCAAATCACATGAGCTCCTTAAAAACAGGGCTCTCTCCAGGTAGTAAGCAGGGAGGAAGTCAGAGACAGATGCATGAGACTCAACGGGAGGGAGAGACTCTTCATCGCTGAAGGGGAGGGGCCGTGTAGCAAGGACTCAAGCTAAAGGAGATCAGCTGATGGCATCACAATGGGAATCTCTGTTCTCAGGACAAGGAAATGAATCTTGAACCTGCATGAGCTTACAAATAAAATCTACCCTAGAGTTTCGAATGGAGAACCCCCTGATATACTGATTTCAGAGAGTGGCTCATGCCTGAAATCCTAGTTACTCAGGAGGCTGAGATTTGAGGATCATGGTTCAAAGGACACAGTTTCTGACAAAAAAAAAAAAAACAATGAGGTGCTGGGAAGGTGGCTCAGTGGTAGAGTGCTTGCCTTGCATGCACGAGGCTCTGCGTTTGATTCCTCAGCACCACATAACCAGAAAAAGCCAGAAGTGGTGCTGTGGCTCAAGTGGCTAGCCTTGAGCTGAAAGAGCTCAGGAACAGTTCAGGCCCCACAACTGACTAAAAAAAAAAAAACCCAAAACCAAAAAATAATAAGCTAATAAATGGATGTTATTTAAAGTTTATGTTGGTTGCAAGAGGAAACTAATTCAGATGGAAAGCCAGATACCATGCAAAAATTAATTAAAGAAAGTTGAAGTATCTAGATTACTATCAGCCACCTCAGAACAAGAGCCATGGTCAATTGCAAAGATTGACAGATGCATTGCTAAAGGAAACAATTCACCTGGAAGATACAACAATCCTAAATGTTTGCATATTAACATCAGAGCTTCAAAATGTGAGGCAAAGCGACTGAGGGAAGTGAAAGGAATAACAGACAAACATATAACTGTAACAGTAGATTTCAACAGTCCTTTTTTTTTTTTTTTGATCCAGTCGTGGGGGCTGAACTCTGGGCCTGGGTGCTGTTCCTCAGCTCTTCAGCTCAAGGCTAGCGCTCTACCACTTGAGCCACAGCGCCACTTCCGGTTTTTTCTGCTTATGTGGTGCGAGGCAAGCGCTCTACTACTGAGTCACCTTTCCAGCCTTCAACAGTCCTTTTAGGAATTGGGAATACTTGTTTTTATCAAGTATTACTCAGTAGTGAAAGCACAAAAGAACAGCAAGGGAAAGGAAAGAATGACACATCAAGTTACATTGACTTAACTGATCTTCACATTGACTTCATTGATCTGTTGTCTAGCAAGCATGACTTGGACCTGGTAAATTACACTCCATTTCATCTGGTGAATTTCACCTATTTTCCCACTAAATTCCCTTTTTGCTTAAGTTAGAGTGAGTTTCAACTCTGTCTTAAAAACAAAGAACCTGCTGGGCACTGGTGGCTCACACCTGAAATACTAGCTACTCTGGAGGCTGAGATTTGAGGATTGTGGTTTGAAGCCAGAATGGGCAGCAAAGTCTGTGAGACTCTTACCTCCAATTAAACTTTTTTGTTGTTGTTGTTGGTTGTGAGGCTTGAACTCTGGGCCTGAGCACTGTCCCTTAGCTCTTCAGCTCAAAGCTAGGCTCTACCACTTGAGCCACAGAACCACTTATGGTTTTTTGGAGGTTTATTCACACTTTGCTGCCCGGGCTGGCTTTGAACCTCGATCCTCAGATCTCAGCCTCCTGAGTAGCTAGGATTACAGGCGTGAGCCACTGGTGCCCGGCTACCTCCAATTAACTAATCAGAAAAAAACAGAAGTGGTGCTGTAGCTTAAGTGGTAGAGTAGCTCAGAGACAGCATCTAGGCCCAGAGTTTAAGCCCCAGGACTGGCAAAACAAACAAACAAACAAAAACCCCAAAGAATCTTAACTGACAAATAACGAATTTTGCACATTTTGGTAAACACTAGCCTGCTGGGTTGTGTTCATTACATGAATTAAAGGAGGTCACTCCCTGGGATGTAACTTCAGACTTAGATCAGCCTTTCATGTGATAAGCTCCGTACCTGTGGCCCAGTAGTAAATATCCCAGTCGTTACTAGGCTCATTAATCAGGCGATCATAGAGGTTCAGCTGCTGCTCAGTCATGTTATGCAGATGTTCTTTAGCAAAGAGACTGAAAACACAAAGGAAAAAGAGGCTGCAAAGGCTGTTTCCGATCCAAGAGGAGTGCCACCCAGACCCATTCTCTACCTCAGGAGGATGCAGTTTTCCAACATCCCTCTCTTCCGGCTCTCATACAGCAGCCGGGCTCTTTTGGTTTCTATGGATTCATCTGCTCTCTCCTGCCATGGAGGCAGAGGGATTTCGATCATGTCCTTTTGGGAATCTGATGGGCTATCACCTCTATAGAAGCGTCTGAATGATGTCCCATTGAGCAAAGGAGACAACAGGCTGTGCCTTGACAGCATCTGAAACAAACCAACCACAGCATCTTTATAATAACCATGACTACCATTGTCATTTACTCAACACTTAGGAGGCATTAAATGCAACAGACCTCATTTAGTCACTAAGAAGTTATATTAAGGCTGGGAATGTGGCTCAGTGGTAGAGTGGTAGAGTGCTTGACTAGCATGCATGAAGTCCTGAGTGATTCCTCAGTACCACATAAGCAGAAAAAAACTGGAAGTGGTCCTATGGCTCAAGTGGTAGAGCACTAGCTTTGAGCAAAAAAAGCTTAGGAAAGGGCCCAGGCCCTGAGTTCAGGCCCAGGACTGGCAAAAAAAAAAAAAAAAAGTTATGCTAAGGGATGTCCAAAAAAAAATGTATTTACTACCTGACTTATGAAATGGTAACCCCTCTGTACTGCAACTTAATAATAACAATTAAAATTATATATATATTTTTTTCTGTCATGGGGCTTGAACTCTAGGCCTGGGCTCTGTCCCTCAGCTCTTCAGCTCAAGGCCAGTGCTCTATCACTTGAGCCACAGTGCCACTTTTGGCTTTTTCTGCTTATGTGGGAGTGAGGAATCGAACCCAGGGCTTCTTGCATGGGAGGCAAGCACTCTACCACTGAGCCACCATCCCAGCCCCCAAATTTAAAAAAGCAGTTATGCTAGTCAGGAGCTTGTGACATGCCTGTAATCCTAGCTACTCGGGAGGGTGAGATTTGAGGATCGTGGTTTGAAGCTAGCCTGGGCAGGTAAGTCTATGAAACTCTTTTATCTCCAATTAACAACAAGAAGCCAAAAATGGAGCTGCAGGGGCCTGGAATGTAGCTCATTGGTAGAGTGCTTGCCTAGCATGCATGAAGCCGGAAGTGGTGCTGTGGCTCAGGTGGTGGAGTGCTAGCCTTGGGCACAGAGAGGCTCTGGGTCAGAGCCTAGTCCCTGAGTTCAAGGCTTGGGACTGGCAAAAACAACGGAGCTGTGGCTCAAATGGTAGAGCATCAGTGTTTGGACAAAGAGGCTGTAAGACAGTGTTCAGGCCCTGAGTTCAAGCCCTAGTACTGGCACACACACATACACAGAAAGTTATAGTCAGGTGCTGAGTAGCTAGTTACTCAGGAGGCTGAGATCTGAGGATCCTGATTTGAAGCCAGCCCAGGCAGGAAAGTCTTTGAGATTCTTATCTCCAGTTAACCACCAGAAACCCAGAAGTGGAGCTGTGGCTCAAAGTAGTAAAGTACTAGCTTTGAGCAAAAGAGCTCAGGGACATCGTCCAGGCCCTGAGTTCAAGCCCATGACTGAAGAAAGAAAAAAGAAGTTATGCTGATGCTGTCCCCACTTTACTACCCCAAGTGGGAAGTGTGAGGCTCAGAAAAGACAATCAGCCAAAGAATACTGCAGACTCACTTTCTAACTGATCTTTCCGGATACTATCCCAGCAAAATATTCTCGCCTTCTTTGTATTCCTTGAAAAGTCTCACAGTATGGTTTGTATTCTAGTCATTTATCTGTGTTAAACATTGAAGCTACATGGTCTGGCCCCTAAATGCCCAAAGGCTTCCAATCCAGAGAAGAGCAGAGACACAGTGGCAAGTTGGCAGAGTGCAAAAGCAGGGGCAAATCTATGACCCTCACAAATCACAGTACTCCTTCCCCCACAATAGGGAGTTGGTTGAAAACTTGCAGCTCCTGGCTTCTACCTGGGGAGGAAAAAGACTAAAACAATGTCCTATGTTCTGACTGCTGGGCCATTGCTCAAGGGGCTGATTTCTGCTTTGGCTGAATGTAAGTGCTATCAGCTGGGGCCCAGGAAAACAAAGGCAATGGTTTGGACTGGCCAACACTCACTTGCCAGTTCCAAAAAATCCCAGGGAGGGAAAGAGCTAAACCTAGACAGCTAAACCTAGCTTTTCAAGGGAGGGAGGGGGAGACTGCCTGGAAGACTAGCTTCTATCTTGCCTTTGTCAGAACACTGCCAGGATGCAGCTTACTCCACATACCTAAAGGCCACTGAGAATAAAAAAGCCGGTGGCTCTTTTGGGTGCTGGCTGATGGACTGGTTTCTGTTTTGTCCAACCTAGAACACTGACAGAGCTGGTGTATTTTAGGAGCCTAAGGCCCACTGGGAATAAGGGAGCTGAGCCACTTGCAGCAGTTCCAAGGGGACACAGTATCTCACACAGGCACCGTAAAAAACTAGAGTATTAGCTCCCAGAAGAGAAAATGGACAAATGGAAATGTCCATGAAGTCCTGAGACCATACACCTACAGAAAAGGCTTGCAGCACTACTGACAGTTAAAGGTCTTTCCTGGTGTGAAGCCAGTCCATAAAAAAACTTCTTTCAAATGCACAAATCCTAATGTGAAGTTGTGAGGTAAAATATGGCCAAAGACAGAATAAATTTCCAGAAAAAAAAAAAAACAGATGTAGCTGAGAGCCAATGGCTCACGTTTGTAGTCCTAGCTACTCAACAAGCTGAGATTCAGAGCACTGTAGAGTGAAGCCAGCCCAGGCAGAACAGTCCACTCCATCTTTGAAATAACCAACATAAAGCAAGGAGCTGAGCAAGAGCTGAGAACCTGAGTTCAAACAGCCATATTGGAAAAAAAGAAAAAGAACTACCCAATGAAAAAAATGCCAAATAGCTATCACAAAGATGCTCAAGGAACTCATAAAATAATGCATGAACAAAATGAGAGTGTCAACAAAGACACAGAAAGTATAAAAAATGGAAAATTTGTAGCTGGAATTCACAATAACTGAATTAAAAAAACAAAAAATATCTCACTAGAGAGATCCAATAGAAAGCCTGATCAAGCAGAAGAAAGAAGCAGTAAACTCAAGGGCAGGTTATTTGGAACTACTCAATCAGAGAAACAGAGCCAAAAAGAATGAAAAATGAAGAAAATCTAACACTTGTAGGTGAGCATCAAGGAGATCAATGGGCAGATTATGAAAGTTTTAGAAGAGAGCAAAAAGGGAGCAGAACTCTTCATTAAACAGTGGTGGAAACTTCTACAACTTGGAGAAATAGACATCTAAGCTCAAGAAGCCCAAAACCTGGACTGGCATGAACCTAGAGAAGTGATTCACATCCAGACACATTGTCAGGTCAGAAAAGCAATAGGCATGTATACCTACAAGACAAATGTGAGGACATAATTAAAATCCTAGCTACTCAGGAGGTTGAAACCTATAGGATTGTAGTCCAAAGCCAACCAGAGCAGAAAAGTTTCACTCTATCTCCAATAATCTAGCAGAATGCTAGATTGGAGCTATGCCTCAAGTAGTAGAGCACTAGCCATGAGCAAGAATGCTGAACAACTGGTCAAGGCCCTGAGTTCAAGCTCTAGTCCTGGCATCTTTAAGCCAAGGAAAGAGGCTTAGAAAAACAAACTTGTTAACATTTTTACCTTGGACCTTAAGCCTCCAAAACCATGAGAAAATAAACTTTTGATGTTTATACCACTCTGTGGTGTTTTGTTATGGTAGCCCAACCAAATGAATGTGGCATGTAGTAAAAATGCAGTTTCCTAAGCTGTACTCTAAACATGTTAGATTAGAATCTCTGCGATCAGGATCTAGAAGTACTTTTTTTTTTTTTTCGGGGAAGGGGGGGTTGCCAATCCAGGAGGCTTGAATTCAGACCCTGAGCACTGTCACTGATTGTTTAAGGCTAGTGTTCTACCACTTTTGAGTTAGCTTCACTTCCAGCTTTTTGATGATTAATTGGAGATAAGAGTCTCATGTATTTTTCTGCATGGGCTGGCTCTGAACCATGATCCTGTCACATAGAACAATTACATATGTATTCAACATCAGAGCATCCAGATCTATAAAGCAAACATTGACTGTCTTGAAGGAAGAAAAATAGCAACAGTTGATTTCAAGACTCCACTTGTAATAACAGAATAAACAGATGGTGGATCAAGAAGAAAATAAGTAGAGTACCAGTGTCTGACGCATGTAATCCTAGATACTCGAGAGGCTGAGAACTGAGGACTATAGTTGAAAGCCAGTCTGGGCAGGAAAGTCCATGACACTCTTATCTCAAATTAACCATCAGAATCTGGGAAGTAGAGCTGTGGCTCAAAGTGGTAGAATGCTAGCCTTGGGTGAAAAAGCTCTGGGATAGTGCCCAGGCCCTGAGTTCAAGCCCTACAACTGACCAAAAAAAAAAAAAAAGGAAATAAAAGAACTTGAATGACACAATAAAACTTAATAGCTAGCTGACACAGAGTATTCCACTCAACAACAGACATTTCTGTACAGTGCACACAGAAACAATGCCCCTGCCAGACTGCACATTGTATTACTAAAAACAAGTGATGACAAATTTAGGATGATGAATTGTCTTTGTTAAAGAACTAATCTTAGTAAATCTTAGTAAATTTAACCACACTGAAATAAAACTAGAAATCAACCATAGCAAAAGAAAAACTGGAAAATCCACCCAGCACACTCTTTTTGTGCTCAAGGCTGGGACTCTACCACTTTGGGTGGATTCCAATGGGAATCCTCAGGTCTCAGCCTCCTGAGTAACTAGGATTGGAGCCACTGGTGTCTGGCCTCAAAAGGAAAAAAAAAATTAAAGTATCTCTAGACAAACAAAAGTCCACAAAAAAAAATTAAGAGATGTGACAAAAAGGGAAAACAGGACCAAGAATTTACAGAGGCAAATGCTTACATTAAAAAAAGAAGAAGAAGAAAAGAATCCCAGCATGATAATGCACAGCTGTGGATCCCAGATACTCTGAAGGCTGAGGATCAGGAGTTCGAGGACAGCCTGGGCACAGGATGAGATCGTCTCAAAAGAGAAGAGAAGCTCCAAATACTATAAAATCACAACAGGTGCTGGAGAGTTAGGAACTGGTATGGAGAGAGGGGCACCACCCAGGTGTCTGGGCTCAGTCGGCCTGGGGAAGTAGATGAGAAGGGAACTGGCTCCCTCACGATGACCGACCATCCAACCGCACATTTCCAGGCATCACCAGTCGAACACACAGTGGCTCCCCGAAGGATGGGGAATGACCTCAGTCTCCTAGGGTCAGCCTCGCCTTGACCTGACCTTGCCCTGGGGCTAGGGGAGTTGAATGTTCCTCACAGTTTCCAGGACCACAGAGAAAGACGGAATTCAATCCTCGCTGCCGCCCTCCCGGGACCCTAAAACACACAGCTCTCTCACCCGCGCCAGAGTCGGGATCACAGGGACCACAGCCATTTTTCCCTACTGCACCGGAAGCCGGCAACCTGGCAACTTCCGGGAAACGCTGTCCATCGGCCTAGCGGACTTGGCCGCGGAGGACCTGAGCCGGAAGGTGCGTCCCTGCGTATGGCGGAAGTGGCGGTGCGTGTGACGCCGCCAGCGAAGGGGGGGGGCGGGACCTGGGGCGGAGAGCGGTTCGCGCGCTTCGGGCCTAGTCCGGACTCGCCGCCGCCGCCGCCATATTCCCGGTAACGGGGGCGCGCGGACGGGGGCCGGCTGTGCCGGAAGAAGGATCGGGGCCGGCGCTGAGGCTGGGAGGGGGTCGGTTGAGCTTGGGACGGCCGGAGTCAGCGGGCGGAGGGAGGCTTGGGCCTTTGAGAGAGGAGGCTGAGGGCGCCGAGCCGGGCCGGTGGGGAGGGAGTGGGAGAGGCCTAGCCGGAGGGGGGGGCGAGGACCGGGCCTGGGTGGGAAGCGGAGGTGGCGGGAGCTTCCGGAACCGCCGGGGCTTGGCCGGAGCCGCTCCGGGGCCTAGACAGGTGCGGCGGGCTGAGGTAGCGGGCTTCGCCGCGGTGGTTCCTCACAGCCGGGCCTGAAGGCCCTTGAGAGCCGAGGCCTGGACTTTTCTCATCGCGCCACAAGCGGCTGCGGCGCTGGTTGGGCGCAAGTCGGGTCGGGCCCGCGGGTGATGGGCAGCGAGCCCCGCGAGCCCGGGAGGCCTGGGAGAGCTGGGGGCGGCGCGAGGCCGGGGGCGGGGCGGGGCGGAGCGGGTGGGGCCGAGCTCGGGCTGCCGGGATGCTCCTGCGTCTCTGGAGACGGGAGGTTGGCAACCATCGTCCTCCTCTCCCAGCCCGGGATCCTTTTCTTGCCTTTCTAATCTCTGCCCTTTTCTTAATATCGCAGTGGCAAATTTCCTACTTTGTCCATTCTCCCGGCCCGAGATCTTCTTTGCGGAGCCATGTCAGAAGGAGTGGACTTGATTGATATATACGCTGATGAGGAGTTCAACCAGGTGAGGGGTGGGGATTTTCCTCCATCAACTGAGGAATTACTTCCAGCCAACTCGCCTGGACTTAAAACAGGAGTCTGTTGGAGCTTTAAGAAAATTTCCCCCTTAGCATCTTGAGAATTTCCCCCTAGTGGAGACTAAAGACTACTGACCATTCCATTCCGCTTTTTGTTAGTTTCAACCTCCAAGCTAAATTTTAAAGGATTTGCTTTAAGAGCAAATTAAAATCCGATGTTATGGTGAACCAACCTGTGGAATCTCCCTCCGCAGGAATTCAAACTTGGATGTCAGTCTCGTCACAGACTACACTTAAATCAACTGCTTTTGTTACAGTATTCCTGAGTTCAATGTTGGTAACTGTTTCTTTAATGTTTTTTGAGACTTCATCTCAACAATGTTAGCCCCTTCTCCCATAAACTCCCAAGAACTCTATATCATTTAGTGTTCCCTCTATTCCAGTTGTGCTGGTCTTGAAGTCCACAGGCATTTTGGTATAAGTTGTATTAGTGAACCTTTTAAAAGAGAGTGGGGCTCACACCTGTGCCTTACTTAGCCAGTCAGGAAGCTGAGATCTGATGATCTTGGTTCTAAGTCAGCCCAGGCAGGAATCCATGAGACTCTTACCTCCAATAAGCCATCAAAAGCCTAAAGTGACACTATGGCTTAAGTGGTAGAGTGCTAGCCTTGAGCAAAAAAGCTCAGGGACAGTGCCCAGGCCCTGAGTTAAAGCTCCAGGACTGGCACTAGATTAAAAAAAAAAAAAAGAGTGTAAAGACATTGGACAATCTAGTTACGAAGTGAGTATAAATTAACTCACCCTTTGTTAGATTGGTTAGTAGCTTTATATTTTTATGGTAACAACAAAAAAAGATTTTCAGGGCTGAGAAGGTGGCTCAGTGGTAGAACACTTGCCTTGCATGCCAGAGGCCGTGGGTTCGATTCCTCAGCACCACATAAGCAAAAAGAAAAAAGCCGGAAGTGGAGCTGTAACAGCTCAAGTGGTAGAGTGCTAGCCTTGAGCTGAAGAGCTGAGGGACAGCGCTCAGGCCCAGAGTTCAAGCCCCACGACGGGACCCAAAAGAAAAGAAAGATTTTCCCTGAAATGATTGTTTGTGCAATTCAGTTCTGTGACCTAGAGGTCAGATTTCAACAATATTCCAAAATCCTTATTTAAAACTTACTAATATCTTACCTGGGTTATTTTCAGCACCATTCTCCTTGAGCAAGCTGGCTCTTATCGGTGTCTTCCAATGGGTATACATAAAGATCTGGAAAGAGCATGGAAAGAATGGAGTAGAGAAGAGTACCCTGGTTGGACCCTCACTTTGATATGAGGCAACAAAAGAGGCTAATACATCCATTTTTCCCCCTTGCCCTAATTGGCATAACTTTATTAAAGAATTTTTATGCATTGTGGCATTTATTATTTTGGCTATACTGTAGTTTTTTTAATTCAGCCTAATGCAAATGCTCTACTACTTGAGCCATGCCTCCACCCCTTTTTTGCTTTAGTTTTTCAGATAGGGTCTCCCACTTTTGCTGGCCTTAAACTGCCATTCTTCTACCTCTGCCTCTCTTCTACCTCTGCCTCTTGAGTAGTAGCTGGGAGCTATAGTTGTGTGCCACTGCCAGGTCCATATCAAGGCTTTTAAATGTTAAGGTTTTAAAGCTTACACAAAGGTGAAATGGTTGGACTACATTAGACCTATTATTCAGTTGTACAGATTATACTTTTTTTTGGGGGGGTCTGGTCGTGGGGTCTGAACTCTGGTCCTGGGCACTGTCCCTCAGCTCTTTAGCTCAAGGCTAACGCTCTACCACTTGAGCCACAGCGCTACTTCCGGCTTTTTCCTTTTTGCTTATGTGGTGCTGAGGAATCGAACCCAGGGCCTCAAGCATGCAAGGCAAGCACTCTACCATTGAGCCATCTTCCCAGCCCTTTTTTTTTTTTTTTTTGGCAAAGGGAGAGGGCTGCTGAGGACTGAACTAAGTAGCCTTGTACATGGTAGACATGAGCTTTTCCATTGGATGATACCTCTGGCCCCAGTTATACTTCTCTTCAGAACCTTACTGGGAAGTATTCTTCTGTTATTTGAGCCACATCCCCAGTCCATTTGCTTTTGTTTGCTTTTCAGAAAGGGTCCTGTGCTAACTACCTGGACTGGCCTTGAATTATCCTGCCAAACTCCACAATAGCTGGGATCACATGCACTTAACCACCACATCTAGCTTAATTATACTTTGTGTTTTGGTCGGTCCTGGGGCTTGAACTCTGGGCCTGGGCACTGTCCCTGTGCTCTTCAGCTCAAGGCCACAGTGCCATTTCTGGTTTTCTAGTGGTTTATTGGAGATAAGAATTTCACAGACTGTCCTGCCCCAACTGACTTTGAACCACGATCCTCAGATCTCAGCCTGCTGAGTAGCTAAGATTACAGGCATTATATTACCAGTGCCTGGCTTAATTTATTTTGTAGTAATAGCATTTTCCCTGTGTCTTCTCTGTTAAATTTTAGAGTTCCCTATATATGACTACTAATTGTCTTATAAATACATGCAAGATGTTTAAAGTGGTCAGATGAGCCAATATATGGATAAAAGGTTATGTATATAAATTATAAAACTATTCCTGGATTTTATATCTTTGTTTTAATATGACTTTTTGTAAATCACAGTTTTATTAATGAGAAAAACAGACTTCCTTAGTTCTTGTCTTCTCTGTGTGGTTGACAGTGCTGCCAATTTGGGAAGTAGGCAGAATGGAATGGGGCCTTTTACTTTAGGCCATGGTTGGTCTTTTAAGAAAATGATTGTTTTCTCTCTTAGGGTTTTTTTTTTTTTTTTGTCCTAAGGCTTAAACATGGTCTAGGCATTATCCTTGAGCTTTTTTTTTTTTTTTTGCTCCAGGCTTTCCTGCCAGTGCTGGCTTTGAGCCATGATTCTCAGATCTCAGCCTCCAGAGATTAACAGGTGTAAGCCATTAGTGCCCAGTTTTTTCTCTTTTAGACAGGTCTTGCTATCTACCTTAGCTGGAACGGGAACTTAGTATGTAGTCTAGACTGGCCACTGATTTGTCCTTTTCTACAATGGCCTTAACAATTAGTTCTCCATCTAGTTTAGAGGAGTATTTTAGGGTTTTTTTTTCTTTGCTGGTACCAAGGCTTAAGGGTGCTTGTGCTTGCTTGGCCACTTGGCTTTTTTGCTCATAGCTTGTACTCTACCACTTGAACCATGTGTCCAGCCCAGAGAGGACTTTTTTTTATGGATCTAAACCATATCTTTAGTATGTGGTGTCAATTAGATGTTAACACCAAATAGGTAATATTAGATCTTGGGAAAATACTAGAAATGTTAAAAAGGATTTGGTCAAAATAAAAACAAAACTGCAGGTAGTAAGATTGTTACAAGTTGATGTAGACTGAGGAAGCCAGTACAAGTTTTTTGGAATGTCTTAGGAATATTATTGATTTGCCTCAAGCTGGCCATTGCATAAGAACCTCCCCTCATGTATACTTGGCTCCCTGAGAAACATTAATACAGTTCCTAGATGGAATCTGTTATGCTTAAACTGATCTGTTACAGAATGTGCTACAAAAGCTTCTTTTGCAGAGCTTCTCTATTGGGCTGGGAGTAAAACTAGAAAGGTGGCTGAGAATTGCTGCTCTCCTGGGTGCTTTGTCTCTGTTCCTTTTCATGGTGAGATAGGTTTTGCATAGTATGCCTAGTTCTCTTCCTCCCTTCGTTCCATCTGTAAGTATTGTTGAGGTACTTCTGTTTGCTAAGCATTATGCCAGAGCTAGTGAGGTCAGATGTTGGGATAGGGATGAATCTTTGTGCTCAAAACAGGTTCTGGTCCAGGGGAGCAAGAACGATGGTGATGGATAATAATAATGCAGAGTAAGAGGTAGATGTGATGAGGAGGAAAGGTACAAAGAGAACTGTGGAGATGGATGTGAAGCCCAAATTTTAATTCAACCTTGGGACAATAAAAGGAATCAAAGGTATCAAATGGGTTGCTTTGAGAAAAATCAGTTCTAGGCTAGTTGCTTTTTTAAATCAGACACCTAGGAGAAGGCTTGAAAAGTAGGAATATTGAGCATACTGATG